GTGTGTGTGTGTGTGTGTGTGTGTGTGTGCGCGGACGCTAATGACTGGCCCGGGGATGGTCATTTAAGTGAAAAATGATGGTAGGACTAATAACCTATGTCAGTAGCAACAATGTTATTGACAAACTCATTCAGCTTGTAACACAGGCCAAGCATTTGTGCGTTCATCAGGGATATGAAACACAAATCTTCACTGCATCAGTATATGTCACAAGCTGCTGCATAATTTATCCCACATCTGCCATTGAGAGGTTAGGAGTCTTTAAGGTTTGTATTTATTTTACCCATTTAAGCACCAAAGAAATGTGTCTTCTTACCTCATCAAACCTGTCGAAGGAGGTGCCTTCCTGCATGAACTCAGGCAGGTGCTTCTGCCAGTTGAACTCATAGGACTTTGTCATGGCTGCTCACAAATCTGAGACACAGTAAGGAGGGAAAGAGAAACAGAAAGGAAAATAAACAGATGGGTTAGAAACAGATCTTTAACAACCAAGACAACAAAAACACAGAGTTTCTCTCCTCGTCTGTCCTACAGTCACAAAATGCTGAATTCATTGAGCATAGCGACTGTAAAACATTTACCACTCAACAATGTGATGTGCAGGAGTTTTAGGTTTCAGGGTATTAATTGGAACGGGGTTATTTCACAGGCAATAAAATGGTTCAAAATTGTAATGAGGCGTCAACAAAAACAACATCAAACACATCATCAAAATAAATGAATTGATAAATAATGCAATTTAAAAATCTATTTGATTTAAAATGCACTTTAAAAGCATTCAAATAGGCAGTTTCTTTCCATTTGCATGTCCCTGCTGCTTTTCCTTTTCCCATTAGCTATGTGATTTACTTAGCCATTTAGCTTCTCATATAACCTTTCCATGACACTGTGGTACTTAACGCTGGTAAAATGAGGTTTACAATGAAAATGGGAATGACACTCAGAGAGCCCATCAACAGTTCCCTTATGAAGCCACATTTAAATTCACTACATCTGGATTTTTATTTGAATCAGCACCATAATGCACACACTCATAAAAATCAGTCCAATAAACATGCCTGGCATTTTTCATCAAGCTCCATGAACCATAAGACTATAGGACTAACCTCCAACAAAAGTGTTGAAAAATGCTCTGCCTTGCAATATGCAAAAAGGCCACAGGTGCAACACTGAAAATATCGCTTAAAATTCTTTATACATGAGTGACAGACATCAGAGAATGAAAGTCAAGGCAAAGTGGCCTGTTGCAAGTTTTAACAAAAGTACGAGGCAAGGATTTGCTAATTTTGTCCACTTAAGCTGTAAAAAAGAGGAATTTTTTTTGCAGTAACAACAAATATTACATCTCAACTGAACCTTCTTCAACAACCTCTCTAGACATTTATTTCAGCCTTAAAGTGAAGTGTCTTAGGCATTACAAAAGACACTAAGTTACAAGCCAATGTTCACATATATTTTCCCTCGGACCAGAATAATACAAAGCCCAGAGAGGTACATAAAGCAAAACCTTGCAGGGCAAAGACTATTGTCTAAGTGTTATATTGAATGTCTTGTCACTGTGGAAAGATGTATATCTTTCACTTAGTAAATATGGAAACAATTAGAATTAACATTTTCTCTCTCCAATATTTCTCAACATCAGTACATTTATATGCACATATGGATGTGATGTCAATCTCTTTGGATGTGGATGTAAACATTTTGTGAATTATTTGATTCTATGTACTTTAAGTTTGTTAACAGTCTGAAATGATGTGTATTTATTTGTTTTGCAGATTGTCTGAGTGTTTCTACGTCGTCTTTTTAAATTACACAAACCAGCAAACATAACCAAGAATAGAAATGGGAACAATTACTGTAAAAGAAATGCAGAAATGAGAGATTTTCCACCAGTAGACTAACTACATCTGACTACAGTGGAGCTGTTACATGAAAAGGGCAGGCTGAGGAATAGTGGGCACACCACTTCATCGCAGGGTTAGACAGAAAAAACAGCTAGAGCATTTGAAGGTGACAAAGTATGAGAGGGTGAAATTTTCCATCAAGTCTACTTTTATCTCACACTTGGCCTGAAACGCTGTGAATGTGAAGCGGTTTCCTCCTAAAACACCAAAAAAGCAAGTCAGGCTTGATTCATGTGACACACCTGCACGTGTAACATCACCAAGACATCCATTGCACGGAGGGGAGGGGGTCCTGACAGGAAACTGTAATATTGTTGATGACACCGTCCAAATATAGGCTCCCCTTACGTCAGCCGCAAATGTGTCATGCAAAACTGAGAGGGAAAAGTTGAGAACGTGACACGCTATGTATAGTCTAATTGCTCAGCTGGTATTATGTCCTAATGGGAATACTCTGAGGTGAGATTCAGTTGTGATTAGGTGGTCTTCTAACTTACAGGGCTGCTAATCCCTGTGATAACAATCACATACTGCATATACAGAAAATATAATTATATTCTGCAGGTTTATTTTGAAAAATATTCAAAAGAATTATCGAGGTATTAATTGCTTCACTAAAGGCTTTGATACCGTAGTGTCTGTCTGTGCATGAGATCCCCCTGCAGATAGTGTGGAGACTGAAATCCTACATTTCATGCAGAAACCAGTCATTTTCATGCAAAGAGATAAAGAGATAAACTTCAAGGTTGATGGGGGAAATGACTAAACATTTTAGCAGAAATAAGGACGTACAGAAAGAGAGTGTTTGATGGTAGAGGGACACTGAAGAGGCACAGGGAAAATAAACAAAGAGAGAGATGTGAAGGTGCCACGAAGAGGACTTCTCTCTTCCTTTAGCTTCCCATGGCTAGAGAGATGAGAGATGAGGAGAGAGCGACAGGGAGATAAAACAGAACAGTGGTGGGCAGCGAGAGACGGATGGGTAAAACAGCTGTTTGTGACAGAGGCTGGCTAAAGAGGCTGGAGGACAGGGCTGTGAGTGCAGCGGGAGAGGGGGGGGGGGATGCCTGCTTTTGACGTGGGGAACACAGACCAGACACAATATCAACAGAGGCTACAGAGAACTGCTGGCTGGGAGGGCTACACTTCACCCTCCTGGCATGACAAACAGTTTTTTTCACAAACAGAGTGAAACAAGGGTTTACAGTTGTCTGCAGGTCGCCATCATGAATCAGAGTGATTCAGAGAGGCCACACAATTAAGCAGCAGCTAATAGGAGCTAATCTCACCCAACATGCTGCTTCATAATAAAACAAATTAAGCCTGATAATAGTGGATTGACCCATTAGAAAATAAAAACACACAAACACTTTTTTAAAGCTTTAGAGTGTAGGGTATTTTCGGCGCCAAAACAAAAAGTGTGATCTTCGCTACATCACAATGCGACAGGAGGTGTAGCAGCCAGGCCAGGTCAGTACATCCAGTAATAGATATAAAAGGAACCAACTTCATCAAACCCAGCCCTTCGCCATCTGTGGTGTGCTAGCAAGGGACCAAAACAGACACACGGCCTGTCAGGGGGAATGAAAACACAGATGCACACTTCCTGTGGAGATTAAGAGCCAGGGACAGGCAGCGTGCCATCAACACAACCCACAGAGAGACGACTAGTGTAAATAGGCGGCACCGTGTCCAGATTACTGAATAATAATAAACCAAATCTCAAAGAAATCTTATACATTCCTAAATCAGATCCAAAAGTATTCAGATAGGACAAATCACACATCTAATTTGGACTAATTGGGTTGTGCTGTCCTATCTGATGTTAGCCTAGATCTTGCCACTCTCAACAGTATGCATTAGATAACATTTTCCTCAGTGGGATGTAATCTGTCCAATAGCAGCGCGGCACTGAGGTTTTGTAAGGCCATGCTGGCAGGGCCTCTGAGCTCCTGGACGTGCAAATGTTGCACGTGAGGAGCCGAGAGAAGCTGGAGGAGGAGAGCAAGGTCCGAGCCCCCTGTCCAACCCCTGACAATGAGATAATTACGATAGATAGGAGCCCCGAGAGGCGCTCCGTTCCCAGCCTTCTCGTCTAAAATGGCAGCTAGGGTAACACCCAGCGGTCCCACACCTCATAAACTAAAATTAGGCCAGCCAGTGGTGGAAGGGTTGACTGAGGACACATTCATGTGGACACAAGTGAACAACACTCACACACACACACAGTGGTACATTTGATGTGGCTGGCACAATGAGCGATGCTATCCAAATAATCCCCAACAAGGTATTAAGCAACTGGATTCAACATTTAAAACAACACATTTTGCAGCTCAGACTAAGCAAGTGAAACCACAAGAAACAGTGGAATAACAGGCTTTTAAAAAAAGATCTGTTTTCATGCCTTGTCTGATCTTACTGCACACATAGTCGCCACATCATTACCATCCCCACGTATTCATGAAAAATCTGACCCCATCTAACCCATGTTTTTGGATAATACTGCTCCAGAGATGAGGATCGCTGAGGCTTATAAAAGCACGACATCACTGCTTTACCTCACTCATTTTCAAATAAACCAGTTGTGAGTCATCTGAATTAAGACCTAAAGGTTAAAGAAGCAAGTGGTGACTAAACAGCAACAATACTATGGCGCTTTGCACCAGTGGAGCGGCTCAGTGGCTCTGTACAAGTGTGGAATTGTGTGAATGGGATCAGGGAGTTCATATAAAAAGACAAGGTTCCATGTTATACCTCTTTTAAACAAAAATTAGTGGGTATTGTTTTTTAAATACAAACCGCTAAAACAAAGGCCACTGACTCGAGTAGGAGTTTGCCTGTTATTTTTCCCCGCATTAACTCAGAAGCTTTCTCACCTGGCTTTTGATACTTGATAAATTGCTTTGACACGTTGTTAGCTAGATTAGAAAAACAAATATGTACACCAACGTTCATGGCTATTTACTCAACGTGCATCATAAGGTCACACAGGAAAAGGTGCGGCATCAGTGTCTACACCTACTGACTGCCCCAATTAGGAAATGAAGAAGAAATCAGTGCATTTGTGCTACACAATATAAACATGTGTTTACTGCAGAGATAATATGAAACAATAAGCTCATTCAGTATCATTATTGTGATCGCTTATTAAACTAAACAAATCAGACTTATGACTGTGACCAGTACAAAGCCAGACCACTATATATGCAACACTCAAGAGACACTTGTGAAGTAGGCCAAGGCTTCCTCTGAACCCTGCTTCATAAAAAAACAGGAACAAAACTGTCAACAAAACAGAGCTGAACTGAAAATATTCTACTCCAAGTATTTGAATTCAATGTGGACCATGATTTTCCTGCCGTCTTCTCCTTTTGTTGCCTCAAAAAACATTGTTCTTCACTCAGTGTCAGACTCAGTGTCAAACAGCTGGTTGGAGTTAGTGCAAAAGACAAATGTTATATCTACAAATCTTCATCTTGCAGCTTCACAATGGTTTCCTAAGCGCTCACA